CTATTTTTTGGTTGCAGCCATCATTGTTGTTTGGCGGGTCCGGGCTGGGGATTCGAACCTGCCACCTTAGGCGTACGTGGCTGGCGCCTTAGCTGGTTGAGCTATAGGCGCTGAGCCAGCTATTGTATTCTTGAAATGCCGCTAGTCAGAATTGATATATGCTGTAAGTATTTATGAGGGAATCCCATTTCCCCACAATATTGTTGATCCTTTGCATGTATTATCAGACTTAAGTTTTTAGTACTCCTAGAAGTAAGAAGTGCTATTTGCAATTTCCTTATGACCAGGAGGCTGAGGATTTTTTTTTAATGGTTTTTGGTCATTCAGATTTTATCCTCTGTGAATTGTATGTTTATATCTTCTCCTCAGTAGAGTCTCACTCTGTCACTCTTGGTAGAGTGCCATGGCATTATTGCTCGCAGCAACCTCAAACTCCTGGGCTTGAGCAATCCTCTTGCCTCAGCCACCCCAGTAGCTCGAACTACGGTTGCCTGCACAAAACTCGGCTTATTTTTCTATTTTTAGTAGAGACAGGGTCTCACTCTTGCTCAGACTGGTCTCAAACTCTTGAGCTAAAGCAATCTATCCACCTTGGCCTCCCAAAATGCTAGGATTACAGGTATGAGCTTCTATACCCAGCCTCAGTTTTCTATCTGATTGCTTTACTTAATGATTTGTAGTTTTTAAGAAAAAAATTTTCTGAATACTTTATAAGTTTACATTGTTACAAATATCTTCTTTCAGTTGGTCATTTGTATTTTAATCTGGTTTATGTTATCTTATTGTTTTCCATGTTTCTGTGTTTGATCCATTTGGGTGTAATATTTTAGATATGTTGTGAGGTAGAGATCTACTTTTATTTTTCTTCATATTGTCAACCAGTTTTCTGAAATTTATTCATCTTTTTCTAACTGAATCATGATGCTACACTATCTTGTAACCAACCTAACTGGTTTTAAGTTCTTATTTCTATGAATCTGTTTCTGAAATCTACTCATGTTTCTATAGATAGTGGGGGGGGTTGTTTTTGTTTTTTGTTTTGTTTTGTTTTGTTTTTGGAGAGACAGAGTCTCACTTTATCGCTCTTGGTAGAATGCCCTGGAGTCACACAGCTGGAAGCAACCTCCAACTCCTAGCCTTGGGCAATTCTCTTGCCTCAGCCTACCGAGTAGCTGGGACTATAGGCACCAGGCTATTTTTTGTTGTTGTTGTTGTGGTTTAGCCGGGGCCAGGTTTGAATCCACCACCCTCAGTAGATGGGGCCAGCACCCTACCCACTGAGCCACAGGTGCTGCCCAATAGTAAGGATTTTTTGTTGTTTTGTTTTTGAGACAGGGTCTCACTCTGTTATCCTAGCTAGAGTGCAACCTCAAACTCCTGGGCTCAAGTGATCCTCCTGCCTCAGCCTCAAATAGCAGAGACTACTCAGGTGTGCAACACCATGCCCAGCTAATTTTTCTATTTCTCTGTAGAGATGAGGTCTTGCTATCTTTCCCACATGGTCTCAAACAAACCTCCTGTCTTAGCCTCCCAAAGTGCTGGGATTACAGGTATAAGACACCACACCCTGCCTAGAGCTCAGTTTTCTTGGACATTCATTCAGGAGACATTTACAAATCAGAAACTATATCCTTCTCCTTACATTGATTATATAGAAATAAGTCAGACATGAAGCCTGTCCTCCAAGAGTTTACAGACTGTCAAGGGACATAAGATATATACAGAGATAATTTAATATTAGACACTCTGTGTTAAATACTAAATGAGAATTGACAGGATGGAGCTGTCACCCTAAGCAGCAGGGAAGTGACATTTGAGCACCAGCAATCCATTAGATTTGACAGAGCATTCCAAACAGAGGCAATAGCATAATAAAAATCTTGGAGGTAGGAAAAATAAATTATTTTTGATGGACTAAGCAAAAAACCATTATGGGCAGGCGTGGTGACTCACATCTGTAATCCTAGCACTCTGGGAAGCCGAGGCAGGTAGATTGCCTGAGCTCACATGTTTAAGATCAGCCTAAGCCAGAGCAAGACCTTGTCTCTAAAAACTAGCCGGGTGTTGTGGCGGGCACCTGTACTCCCAGCTACTCGGGAGGCTAAGGCAAGAGAATCACTTAAGCCCAAGAGTTTGAGGTTGCTGTGAGCTGTGACACCAGGGCACTCTACCAAGGATGACACAATGAAACTGTCTCAAAAAAAAAAAAAAATTCTGGCACGGCGCCTGTGGCTCAAGCAGCCAAGGCGCCAGCCACATACACCTAAGGTGGCGGGTTCAAATCCAGCCCGGGCCCACCAAAAACAACAATGACAGCTGCAACCAAAAAATAGCCAGGCTCAGCGTCCGTGGCTCAAGTGGCTAAGGCACCAGCCACATACACCTAACGTGGGTTCAAATCTATCCCGGGCCCACCAAAAAACAACAATGATGACTGCAACCCAAAAATAGCCAGGCGTTGTGGCGGGCACCTATGGTCCCAGCTACTTGGGAGGCGGAGGCAGGAGACTC